GCTGAAATATCATCAGATATTGTTTCCGTCTGTCAGAGAGGAGATTTGACTGTGAATTTATTTCCTCCTTTCCACCAAAATAATTAGGCTTTGTTCAGACAGGCAGCAAAAATCCAGCTCAAATCCGTTTAATTGTTTGTAGCAAAAACCGCATGGAATCTGATTTTAACAAACCTCATCCAAACCGAATCAATATGGTTTGAAATCAGATTACAATCCGATGTTTCAGATCAGATCAGGTTTTGTTTTCCGCGTTCAGGACGTGACTGCAGTGACGTGCTGATAAAGCTAGAATGTCATACAGTCACACAAAGCATCTCCAGCTGAATTCCCTCTTTTATGCACACATGTGCCGTTCTCTTTGTAATGAATAGTGAATGAGCAAAGGAGCAAGCCGTTTTTAACACAGCATGTGCCAAATTGTCTTTTTTTACAATGACAGCTTCTTTTGTATGTCTCTTAGCGCAAGTCATCACTATGGCGACCATGCCGGATTTTGAGTACACTATCTACAAAAATGGAGCAGATTTGAATATTTTATTTTATTTTTAATAAAAAATATTTTATTTAATATTTTTTATTAACATATATTTTACAATTTCTTAAAAATATTTATTAATTTCCCCCCTTATAAACATCCATAGAATTAAAAAAAAAATTCTGAGATTTTCTTAAATTAATTTCTTAACCCATTTCTCAATTCTATTAAGTATATTATTAAAATGAGAGGATAGGAACACAGTTTGCCATTAAGCTAAGAATAAGAAACTTCATTCAAAACTTAATTTTCACATGAAAGAGCATTTACAGAGCATTTAACATTGCATTTTAGTCTAATGCCTCTATTAATTTTAAAAGGGCCAATCAAACCCCCATTAACTTTAAGCACACTCTCAATGCCCTGCTAAAATATCTTGAACATGGCAATGAAAGTTGGGCTGAACCCAAATCCTGCTAGCCGCTGGCAGAGATGAATGCATTCACCCTGGTCAAGATAAACACAAAACCGTCAAAACCCAATGGTCTAGAAACATTCCAAAACATTTCTGAGTTAGATAAATATGGTTTAAAACAGACCTGGCCTGCACATAATAGGACTAATCATGATGAATGGGCTTCCAGATCACGTTCCCAGCTTTGTAGAGCGAATCTTGGAGAGAAATAGGTCACCATTTTTTGTTCTTTCTTAGTATGCAACTCAAACGCTTCAACCAGATTGTCAATGCTTCGCTGGTTCTTTACTTTATGTATCTATATAACTATCAACTATCAGCTCTTTCCTGATCTCACCGGACTTTGCAAGGTTTTGCCCTGCGGCTGCTTTTCTCAGTGGTATAGAAGACTTGTGAATGGACCTGCTGGCCTTTGGCCTGAAGCGCTCTTGGCTTTGGGCACCCAAACATCTTCTATCTTCTCAGTGCTATGAATTGTGAATTAGTTTGTTTTTAATGCAACCTGATGAGATCTGACATACAGCTGGACACTCGCTGAATCTGTCCAGTGTTGGGGAAAGTTACTTTTAAAAGTAATGCATTACAATATTTTAATTCTGATTTCTCTCAAAATGAAGACAGAAGAGCTGCTAGTAAATAAATGGGAAAACAAAGTAACTGGTGTTACTCGTTTGAAAAAGTAACTCAGATATTTTCTTGTAATTTAAAAAGTAATGTGTTACTTTACTAGTTACTTGAAAAAAATCTATCTATCTATCTATCTATCTATCTATCTATCTATCTATCTATCTATCTATCTATCTATCTATCTATCTATCTATCTATCTATCTATCTGTCTGTCTGTCTGTCTGTCATTAAATGATTTTGACTTTAGATCGTGTTTTGGAGTAATTATGCTATTTAGGATTTTGTTTATGAATTCTGAATTTAAAAAAAGTCTTCAAGGTCTTTAGTAAAACGACAACTTGACAAAACCAAGATGATAAAATCAGACCTTTTCACAGTCAAGGAGTTTTTGGATTTAGTTATTTATTTTTTGAATATCAACCTTTAAACTGAAATTTTAAGTGTCTCTCAGTCCAAAAAAAAGAGCCATTATTCCCCTGCTGGAACTTTTACAATTGTATCTACTGTATTAGTGGCTTTGCTCAGACCTCACGACTCCTTGGTATGACTAGTGCCAGATTGCACCCTAGCTTGATTGAATGTACTTTCTCTTGCCATTTTATACCTTTTTGTGCTCCTTTTCCTCATCAGTGATCCATTTCTGTTCCCAACATCTCTTCTGCCTGTGCTTTGTTATTTTCCATTTGAGTGTCTAGCACATTTGTATTCACTCCACAACTCCACCAACATGACTGCCTTGAGGTTTATGGATACATTATCTTCTGTCAGTGCTAGACACTTCATTTAAACCTTGAAACCACTTGCTGTTCAAGGTGGTGTTACCTTGAATCCCTCTGTGGCCTACAAACTAATGTATTTCTTATAGTTGTTGCATAATTAGTTGGGATTAATATTTTAACATAAAATTATTTAATAGTCACCTTTCTATGTCTCAGTAGTTATTCAGTGAACTTGATTTTGTACACAAAGGATTAACAAAGCCATTTGCAGCAAATGCATGCTTTATCATCACTGTTAAAAATAGCATTATTGTGCTTATTACCCAAGTGGCTAGCTGCTATATTCTGCTAGATGACAACTTTAGCTAATACTTAACCATGTTTTTCCATTTAGCATCTCACCATGGGACCACTTCAATGGTGTACCGTCACATTACATCGTCCAAAACAGTCTTCAGCCATAAATCACGATAAAGTGATGATAAGGGTGGAAGAGGCTTGTTTAGTGCCTCTGAGCTTTCACCGGATGAACAACTAAGAAGAACAGATATACTGGAAGAACATACCAATTGTACCATGGGAAGAAAAAGTTTTAAAAAGTTAAAAAAAAAAAGTTTTAATATGCACCCTTAAGGTACTACTATGAACGTTCAGAGGCAAATAAGGTACAAGGATGTCTTTTTAATGGTATTTCCCCAGTGACAAACTGTTGTACCCCTATTATTAATACCTTAGAGTAATTATGTACCCTTAAGGTAAAATCATGGTACAAATATTTCTCTATAAGGGTACTGCCATAGTAACAAGCTGTTGTACCCCTATAGAGTGCATATTAGTAAGACCTTCGTTCATCTTCAGAACACAAATTAAGATATTTTTTATGAAATCCGAAAGCTTTCTGACCCTCCATAGACAGCAACTCAGCTACCACATTCAAAGCCCATAGGTAGTAGTAAGGGCATTTTTTTAAATAGTCCATGTGTCATCAGTGGTTCAACCTTAATTCTATGAACGCTGGCTCCTGCGTCAGCAGCACCACACGCATGCATCTCTCATGAAGAAAAAGGAAAGGAAAGGACATGACATATGGCCAAGTATGGTGTCGCATACTTGGAATTTGTGCTCTGCATTTAACCCATCCAAGTGCACAAGTCAAGTCAAGTCACCTTTATTTATATTGTGCTTTTAACAATACAGATTGTGTCAAAGCAGCTTTACAGTATCAAATAGGAAAATAGTGATGTCATCGTCCAGCTCAGTTCAGTTTAAACAGTATCTGTGCAATCAAGTCGATAATATCTCTGGAAATTAAAAGTCCCCAACTAAGCAAGCCAGAGGTGACAGCAGCAAGGAACCAAAACTCCATCGGTGACAGAATGGAGAAAAAACCTTGGGAGAAACCAGGCTCAGTCAGGGGGCCAGTTCTCCTCCGGCCAGACGAACCAGCAGTTTGTTCCATGCTGCAGCAAAGACAGATTGTGCATAGGACTCATCTGGTTCCATGGTCTTGTCCCGATGGCCGTCTAGGTGACGAGGCCTTCACTGGGGATCTGTCTTTGGGGCTCATCTAGTTGTCCTGGTCTCCACTGACATTCAGGGCTGTCGAGGGCGTCTCAAGATGCTGATCCACCATCTGGTCTGGATAATGGCACAGCAGTGAATAGTGTGAACACACAGTGAGCAGCCATGTTTTGCTGCGGCGCCCGGGGAGCAGATGGGGGTTTGGTGCCTTGCTCAAGGGTCTTACCTCAGTTGTGGTATTGAGGGTGGAAGAGATCACTGATCATTCACTCCCCCCACCTACAATCCCTGCCGGTTACAAGACTCGAACCCGCGACCTTGGGTTACAAGTCAGATTCTCTAACCATTAGATCATGGGGGTTTTGCAAGTGTTTTATGCAATATTTTGCGTTACCCCCAACACACTATCTGTCTGTCTGTCTAAGGTGTTCATTCAAACAACAACATGACAAACCCAAGACGATAAAATCAGACCTTTTAAAACAGTCAAAGAGTTTTTGGAATATCAGCCTTTAAACTGAACTTTAGTTCTCTTCGACTCATTGGATAAAAGCGGTGCTTATTCGTGCGTGTTTTTTATATTCCAATTTTGTGCATAATTTAAGTAGCTGGATGGAAACCCAGCTAATGAATCCTTTAGGGTTAAATATGGTACAAATATGTTCCTGCTGCCCTGATGGCAAGCTGTTGAGCCCCAAAAGATGCATATTAGTACCTTGGAGTCTTAATACATAGCCTACTGGTACTACTATGAATTGTTTGGAGATAAATAAGATACAAAGATGTATCTTTAAAGGTACTTTCATGGTGATAAGCTATTGTACCCCTAAAGGTACAACTTTTGCGCTTTTGTCTGAGAGTGCAAACAAGCCTGCATTTGTGAGAAACCATGGAGCGAAATAAAATCTCATTGAGTCTGTCCACTCTAGCTGACCAAGTGTATAGCCTGGAGGACCAAAGGGGAAGCACCAAACTCTTTCTTGTTTGTTCTTTCTCTGCGATTTCCTTCACTCCTCCAAGCGTCTATGGCTCCCTGCTGTTCGGCCGTATGTCTTTTGTGGAATTCCATCAGTTCTTGCCGCCTCAGTGTTTGGACCCTGCTATTTTCTTCTGAAGTGACAGTTTCTTCCGTTCTTTCTGACAATAACCCACTTCACCTGCTTTTTCTCTCCATCTCAGATGAGTGTTTGGTGAGGAAGGGCGGCTGCAGTCACGAGTGCTTGGTGGCGCCGGGTAAAGGGGTCGTGTGTTCCTGTCCGGTGGGGTTCCAGCTGGGTTCGGACAGCCGGACATGCGAGGTCCTGGATTACTGTACCAAGCACCTACGCTGCAGCCAAGTGTGCGAACAGCACAAGAATACTGTGAAATGCTCCTGCTATTCAGGCTGGAGTCTTGGACCTGATGGAGACAGCTGTTATAGTACAGGTAAACAGCAGCCTGTTGATTCTTTGTTGGCCTTTGGTTAACAATCTGAATTTTTCACATGAAAATTGGAGGTTCAATCCCAAATAGGGTTAAAACCAGATTACAGTCCAAACTGCAAGGCAATTAACCTCAGGGGAACCAAATGACCCTGAATTTCTATGCTGTAAATAACACTGATAAATGGCTGCAAGATGACAATCAAGTTCATTTAGTTTAACATTTATTTATATTTACTTTCAGAGAGAGGATTGTGCAGTCAGTGTTAAGGTGTAAAATGCATGTGTAATATGTTAATTCATTTTAGCGGCTCAATTTACAGAGAGCAAAAGTGAGTTGGGAAATATCAGAGTTCAGACTCCAGTGCACTTGATGGGAGTGGAGAGGAAGATGTGCAAAGAACACTAAGTAACATGTTTTAATAAAAAGAAAAACAAGCTTTTACTGAAACACACGGCTCAGTTTTCAGAGCTGTCAAAATGCTTTTTGTTTTTGTCCGAACTGAAACGGCCAGCTATAATTCATATTGCAATCCACATACGGTTTTCTCGTCAGTCTCAGACTTGTAAAGATGCCAGCCACATAGTACCACATAGCATTTTTGGTTTATTTATAGCTTGGAATGTGCTAACAATTTATTCTATTATTATTATTATTATTATTATTATTATTATTATTATTATTATATTTTATTGTTTTTCATGAATAATTTTCAGATTTCTTGCCTTTTTTAAATTTTAAATTGTACTTTTTTCAATTTAATTTGTAATAAATTTAATTTGCTTAATTTTAATCAATGCAGTATAATTTAATTTGTAATGTACTAAATGTGTTTATTTTATTAAATAAGGCATACATATGTGTTTGTGTGTGTTTTGTATTTTTTATTATTTTAACTTCTCAGCATATATATATATATATATATATATATATATATATATATATTATATAATGATCTTTCAAATTATATATGTGATTTTATTTTATTACTTATTTTATATAACGTTATTTTTTTTTCGGTAATGTTTCTTAACTTGACTTTTTGACTTGACAGATATTTTGTTTTTGCCAATTTTACATTTAGTGATTTAGCTTACAAATGAGTAACATAAATGTATTTAATTTAATAGCAATTTATTGTAAAACCAAACCCAAAAATACACAAAAATCCTTTTTTTGTGATTTGATTGGACCAACTTGTCAACATTAAACTTGCTTTTGCATTTGCTTTCGCAGTCCTGCTGCATGCTTCTTGTTCTCTTTATCTATTGTTTTCTGTCTTTTTGTAGATCCTTTTGAGGCGTTCATCATTTTTTCCATCAGACACGAAATTCGCCGAATCAACCTGCAAAGGGGCGACTACAGCCTGTTAGTCCCCGGGCTCAGGAACACCATTGCTTTGGATTTCCATTTCAGCCAGAGCCTGCTGTATTGGACCGATGTTGTAGAGGACAAAATTTACCGTGGGAAGCTGTCAGAGGGTGGCGGTATGATTCACATTTTTTTACATAGTTTATGACGATATTAATATTTATGACTTTATTATATCATACAGGCTATAATATGATTCAGTGGAATTTACAGTGCAGTGATTCTTGAGTACTGGGACAGAAAACTGCAGAACTACAGACAAAAAAGTTTGTGTAAAGGAATTATTTTGGATGAACGCACTTTTAGGTGCAACCTCCTGCTTCTCCCATTTTCTCACAAAACGTGTTTTCCTTGCCTGTCACTCCAGTGCCGGTACAAACATGAATAATGTCTCAAAATATTTTATAAGTATTGTCAAATCTAGCATTTACTATCTATCTATCTATCTATCTATCTATCTATCTATCTATCTATCTATCTATCTATCTGTCTATCTGTCTATCTGTCTGTCTGTCTGTCTGTCTGTCTGTCTGTCTGCCTGTCCGTCCGTCCGTCCGTCCGTCTATCTATCTGTCCGTCTGTCCGTCCGTCTATTGATATATAGATGATAGATATAGACATATAGATATACAGATATAACTTAAAATTACTTTTTACAATTATGAAATTTATTTATTTATTTTTAATTTTATTAACTTATTTATTTTTATTTATTTATTACTATTTAATTTAATTTAATTTTTTATTTTATTTTATTTTATTAATATTTAAGGAGTGACTAATACCCCTTTATTTTAATAAAATAATAAAAAAAATCTAATTAATTGGCACATATACTGTATGTTACGTTATGTATATGTTGTATTACATTCAGATCAACGATCAAAGTACAAATATTGCTATTTTCAAAATTATTAGCAGGTAAACGTTTTGTTCCATGCCTCATGAATCATGATTCTTCTCGTCATGATTTTTATTGTTCAGAATATTGTGAAGGGTTTTTTTTAGCTCTGTTTTACACTTAAAAAGCAAAGTCAGTCTACCAACTGTGTTAATAATTCAGCTTCGAAATGTGTGAGAAGTAATTTGCACTCAGATCACAAAGGAACTGATGAGTAGATATTGAGAAAGAGAGAGAGAAAAAAAAGTAGGAACCACTTTGTCTTGAGGGTTTGTTGCTTTTCACACACTTCATAGGGTACCAAATTACACTCGCCCAAATGACAAATTCAAGTAATCTTGAGCTTGACTGGCCAGCTAACAACCTAACAACCATTTATTTCCATTAAAATAACCCAGTTTGTTGTCCTGGCAGGTGTTTCGTCAATCGAGGTGGTGGTCCAGCATGGTCTAGCCACTCCAGAAGGCCTTGCCGTTGATTGGATAGCGGGAAATCTCTATTGGATCGACAGCAACCTGGACCAGATTGAGGTGTCCAAGCTGAATGGCGAATTACGAACCACCCTCATCGCCGGGGGTATGGAACACCCTCGGGCCATCGCCGTGGACCCCGGCCAGGGGTGTGTTCTTCACTCCAGTTGAAGAAAATAACAGCAAAGCACCAGTTTTCCAATTACTTCATAGTTTTAATGAACAACTTCAGTGATTTATAGCTCCATTCGGTGGATTGCGAATCGTAATGAACCCGTCTAATCACCCATAAAGGAGTTTTTAAATGATTTCCAGAAGGGATATTACCATGAAATTGGGCCATTACACATTCTTACCTGTTTTGTAATTGTGCTAATGCTAATGCTTTTAATGAGGATGTGGTTTGCAAGTAACCCTTGTTTGAAAGTCGTTTAAGGTAGATTTTTACATCGAGTTTTGTCGTCAACAGTGCCTTGTTCTGGACCGACTGGGACGCCACGTTTCCTCGCATTGAAGGCGCTTCCATGAGCGGGAAACGGCGACATGTGGTTTTCAAGGACATGGACTCCGGCGCTTGGCCCAACGGACTGACCTTGGACCACATGGAGAGCAGGATAGTATGGACAGACGCCCGGTAAGAAGCACGCAAACACTCTTCTGTTGGGATTTTTATGTTTTTCGCAAGACTGTTAGAGAGTGTTTTGGATGGAAACTAGAAGGTGGAATTGGGAACAAGCCCAGTCATTGGTAACAAATTCAAGCGCTCGTTTTGTTGAATGATTGATGTGTTTTTTGTACCGGTTCAAATTCAAGATCCACCTCCGCTGGCGACGAAATGACAGGCCGACAGAGATATGCTATTACTATTGATTATAATTTTGCCCATCAAGTTTTATTTATTTTTTATTTTTTTTAACCTGCAAAGGGGCGACTACAGCCTGTTAGTCCCCGGGCTCAGGAACACCATTGCTTTGGATTTCCATTTCAGCCAGAGCCTGCTGTATTGGACCGATGTTGTAGAGGACAAAATTTACCGTGGGAAGCTGTCAGAGGGTGGCGGTATGATTCACATTTTTTTACATAGTTTATGACGATATTAATATTTATGACTTTATTATATCATACAGGCTATAATATGATTCAGTGGAATTTACAGTGCAGTGATTCTTGAGTACTGGGACAGAAAACTGCAGAACTACAGACAAAAAAGTTTGTGTAAAGGAATTATTTTGGATGAACGCACTTTTAGGTGCAACCTCCTGCTTCTCCCATTTTCTCACAAAACGTGTTTTCCTTGCCTGTCACTCCAGTGCCGGTACAAACATGAATAATGTCTCAAAATATTTTATAAGTATTGTCAAATCTAGCATTTACTATCTATCTATCTATCTATCTATCTATCTATCTATCTATCTATCTATCTATCTATCTGTCTATCTGTCTATCTGTCTGTCTGTCTGTCTGTCTGTCTGTCTGTCTGCCTGTCCGTCCGTCCGTCCGTCCGTCTATCTATCTGTCCGTCTGTCCGTCCGTCTATTGATATATAGATGATAGATATAGACATATAGATATACAGATATAACTTAAAATTACTTTTTACAATTATGAAATTTATTTATTTATTTTTAATTTTATTAACTTATTTATTTTTATTTATTTATTACTATTTAATTTAATTTAATTTTTTATTTTATTTTATTTTATTAATATTTAAGGAGTGACTAATACCCCTTTATTTTAATAAAATAATAAAAAAAATCTAATTAATTGGCACATATACTGTATGTTACGTTATGTATATGTTGTATTACATTCAGATCAACGATCAAAGTACAAATATTGCTATTTTCAAAATTATTAGCAGGTAAACGTTTTGTTCCATGCCTCATGAATCATGATTCTTCTCGTCATGATTTTTATTGTTCAGAATATTGTGAAGGGTTTTTTTTAGCTCTGTTTTACACTTAAAAAGCAAAGTCAGTCTACCAACTGTGTTAATAATTCAGCTTCGAAATGTGTGAGAAGTAATTTGCACTCAGATCACAAAGGAACTGATGAGTAGATATTGAGAAAGAGAGAGAGAAAAAAAAGTAGGAACCACTTTGTCTTGAGGGTTTGTTGCTTTTCACACACTTCATAGGGTACCAAATTACACTCGCCCAAATGACAAATTCAAGTAATCTTGAGCTTGACTGGCCAGCTAACAACCTAACAACCATTTATTTCCATTAAAATAACCCAGTTTGTTGTCCTGGCAGGTGTTTCGTCAATCGAGGTGGTGGTCCAGCATGGTCTAGCCACTCCAGAAGGCCTTGCCGTTGATTGGATAGCGGGAAATCTCTACTGGATCGACAGCAACCTGGACCAGATTGAGGTGTCCAAGCTGAATGGCGAATTACGAACCACCCTCATCGCCGGGGGTATGGAACACCCTCGGGCCATCGCCGTGGACCCCGGCCAGGGGTGTGTTCTTCACTCCAGTTGAAGAAAATAACAGCAAAGCACCAGTTTTCCAATTACTTCATAGTTTTAATGAACAACTTCAGTGATTTATAGCTCCATTCGGTGGATTGCGAATCGTAATGAACCCGTCTAATCACCCATAAAGGAGTTTTTAAATGATTTCCAGAAGGGATATTACCATGAAATTGGGCCATTACACATTCTTACCTGTTTTGTAATTGTGCTAATGCTAATGCTTTTAATGAGGATGTGGTTTGCAAGTAACCCTTGTTTGAAAGTCGTTTAAGGTAGATTTTTACATCGAGTTTTGTCGTCAACAGTGCCTTGTTCTGGACCGACTGGGACGCCACGTTTCCTCGCATTGAAGGCGCTTCCATGAGCGGGAAACGGCGACATGTGGTTTTCAAGGACATGGACTCCGGCGCTTGGCCCAACGGACTGACCTTGGACCACATGGAGAGCAGGATAGTATGGACAGACGCCCGGTAAGAAGCACGCAAACACTCTTCTGTTGGGATTTTTATGTTTTTCGCAAGACTGTTAGAGAGTGTTTTGGATGGAAACTAGAAGGTGGAATTGGGAACAAGCCCAGTCATTGGTAACAAATTCAAGCGCTCGTTTTGTTGAATGATTGATGTGTTTTTTGTACCGGTTCAAATTCAAGATCCACCTCCGCTGGCGACGAAATGACAGGCCGACAGAGATATGCTATTACTATTGATTATAATTTTGCCCATCAAGTTTTATTTATTTTTTATTTTTTTTGGTATTTTACAAAGCAGCAGCATAGCAATTTTGCTGTCTTGACACATTCATAAACTCTCATCTTACATTTCTCACAGCACTAGTTCAATTCCTCTTGTGCCCGGTGACTCCAAATATACCCAAATTAATATTCAGATAATGAGATTCTTGGACTTAATGAAGAATCTGATCAATTCTCGGCTTTCAATTGCCTCATTTTTGTCTCTGCTATATTCAGATCACACATCTCTCTTTCTCTCTCAGTCTGTCAACAGCATTTCTTTCTTTTTTTTCTCTCAACCGTGTCTCATCATTAAGGCATCAGTGCACTTTAAAGTCTTTCTTGCAAACTATTTTTACTGTTTTGTTTTTACTGTTTTTTTATTTCGAGTACACAGTCTTTGTAGTAAAAATTTAGAATATGTTCATATATTGTTATATATATATATTGGTATAAATATACAAATGGAAACATCAAATTGAACTGAGGTAATTTAGAATTAAATACGATTTATTAAGTTTGATTTGATTCTAGTTATGGCAGATCAAATCAACCTGAACTAAATTGAATCACACTTAATGAATCTTGTTTAATTCATTCAGTTAATTAAATATTATGTAATTCAAAGTAAAACAAGATTGAATATCCTCGAATTTGATTAGATTCAGTTTGTTGAAAGTGCATGACAGTGTTTATTAAGAAAGTAAATAAGGTCAGTTTTGATTTCATGTGACTTTAAAATACTCTGATAATGATTAAGAAAATGATTTATCCCTCCTCAGATCTGACGCTATATACTCTGCTCTATATGACGGAACGGGGATGATTGAAATTCTCAGAGGCCACGAGTTCCTCTCTCACCCCTTCGCCGTGTCTCTCTTTGGTGGGAGTGTTTATTGGACTGACTGGAGGACCAACACTTTGACAAAGGCCAACAAATGGACCGGGGCCAATGTAACTGTGATCCAAAAAACCAGCGCCCAACCCTTCGATCTGGAGATATACCATCCTAGCAGGCAGCCACAAAGTAAGTAACCATCTCGCTGTCTTTCAAAACTGTCTAGAGAGACTTTGAAAGAGATGATGATTTGAAGGATCCAACAGAACATAATGAGAGAAATCTCTAGATTGAGCGAAGTTGTCATGTTGGATTAACAGCGTACAATGACCCAGTTTTGGCACATTCCCATTTCTCACTATAAGATTTTAGGGACTAATTGGCTGCAAAGCTGTCTCGTCAAGAACTCCCTTGATTCCCATCAAGAATTCCCATCATTTCTGAAACATGAAACAGACAGTCAAACACTACAAGGTCACATTTCTTTTCTGAATTTCCTACTTGAAACCAGGGGCGGTTCTAGGGGGTGGCCAGTGCCCCCCTGTCAACAAGCTTGCCCCCCTAAATTTGGAATCATATCACACCAAACAATTTTGGGTGAAATGCGCAGTTTCTCCTGTAAACTATATATATAAAAAAAGAAAAACACCAGCTGCTGAGCTATATCTACAGAGCCAGAGACACACTCGTTTTTAAAGCGCTGCGCATTATAACCAATCACATACGATTCTGTTGAGTTTATGAATGCAAGGACCAATCAGAGGCGTTCAGATGAGCCACCGCTGAAACATGCTGTTTCGTCACCACGTGCGCTCGCTGACTGAATTCTCTGGCTAATTCTAAGTAAGATATTAATGTCACAGTGTAAACAGCTTTAGAGATTATTATGGGAGTTTTTGAGAGTGCTTAAAGGGTCATGAAACCCCAGACTACTTTTTCTGAGATTTTAGCAGAGGTGTTTGTGTTGCATTGGATGTTAGCATCCGATAATTTTAACTGTTGGAGAAAAGTGGTTAATTTTAAGCTTTTTTGCACTATTTTCATCTTCCAGGTTTAAAATCGACATTGTGTTGACGTCACAATCGGTGTCTATTAAATTATTCATGAGACTGCGTGTTCTTATCCTATGAGAAGATGCTTCGCTTAATTATTCACAACAGCATGTGTTGATTTGCTATGACAGAGTTGAGTTTATGAATGCAAGGACCAATCAGAGGCGTTCAGATGAGCCACCGCTGAAACATGCTGTTTCGTCACCACGTGCGCTCGCTGACTGAATTCTCTGGCTAATTCTAAGTAAGATATTAATGTCACAGTGTAAACAGCTTTAGAGATTATTATGGGAGTTTTTGAGAGTGCTTAAAGGGTCATGAAACCCCAGACTACTTTTTCTGAGATTTTAGCAGAGGTGTTTGTGTTGCATTGGATGTTAGCATCCGATAATTTTAACTGTTGGAGAAAAGTGGTTAATTTTAAGCTTTTTTGCGCTATTTTCATCTTCCAGGTTTAAAATCGACATTGTGTTGACGTCACAATCGGTGTCTATTAAATTATTCATGAGACTGCGTGTTCTTATCCTATGAGAAGATGCTTCGCTTAATTATTCACAACAGCATGTGTTGATTTGCTATGACAGACTTTTCTGACTGTGAAATGACATCGCGCACATTAACTGAGAGAAATGTTCATGGATCGAAGAAGAGTGTTTGTTTTTGCTTTGTAATAAGAGTTTGGCACAAACGCGATTCATTCACTTGGTGAGCATAACCGTTTTTACAGCTCTGTGACACAACCCGTCAAAAGGCTTAGATAAACGCTGCAGAATAAGCCTTAAAAGTTCTCAGAGGTGCAACAGCGCGTTCATATAAATGTTTTCGATGTAGAGTGCAAATGGCTGTGCATTTATTTGTGTTTTTAACTCGATGGGAGCAAAATTAAACTGTCTGAACGCGAAGCTGTAATTGTTGTCTGTCTCCCCTCTTCCCCCTCCTCCGCTCCGCTGCGCACCACGCCCACTTTTTTAGCGTTTTTTAAAACTGTGGTGAGAACTAACCAGTGCTGAAACGGGGGGTTTCATGACCCTTTAAAGGGATAGTTCACCCAAAAATTAAAAGCGTCATCATTTACTCACCCTAATGTCGTTCCAAACCTGTATAAGTTGCTTTTGTATGAGTATTTTTTTTTTCCTACTATGGAAGTCAATGGCAACCACCAACTGTTTGATTACCAGCAATCTTCAAAATATCTTATTTTGTGTTCAACATAAGAAAGCAACTCATACAGGTTTGGAACAACATGAGGGTGAGTAAATGATGACTGAATTTTCATTTTTGGGTGAACTATCCCTTTAAACTCGCTGGACTGAAGTGAAAATGTTCTTTGATAATGTAAAGGTTCTTTGCTCTCTTTTTGTACAATGAAAGTGTTATAGGCTAATTAGTAACTTGCAATGTTTTTATTAAATTCACATTAAATACAATGTCAGTTGTATTAAGCATATTTTATGGTATGACACCCATATCTGGTACTTAAGTAAAAAGACCGATTTTTATGCAAAGTTAATAGATTACACTAGTATGCTGCTTTTCACCCATTATAGATAAACTAACATAATCTGTAAAGGTGTAAAATGCGTTTACTTACACATATTTGAGAATCTAGATATTTCATGATATATTTTGGGAATATTTCGAATAAAAATTTAAAAAATAATAAAACCCCTGCTGAAAAAAACAATAGACACCATTACACAATTTGTAATGGCTTTATTGGTTATAATGGGACTTGTATTGGTTTTACTGGAAACTTTAATGGACCCTGTTGGTCTCTACTTGGTTGGCTTCTATAGGTGGCTTGTTAAAACCAATAAATCCTAATGGAATATGTCCCAAAACACACTACAGAAAACCATTTTTTAATGGTTAAAAGTTGATGATTTGTAATGGTTATTTGTAGTGGAAATCATTCAAATTTTCTGTGATGGTTTTATAATATATATTTTTTTTTCGTTAGGGACATAATCCTATATCAGTTATACAGTGGTATTGCGGCTGCTGTGTCACACGTCAAGCATGAGAGTCCCCCACCCTTCAAAAATAATAAGTGCATGATGCCCCTGACACTACAATACAAAATTATTAGTCAAAAATGAAACATGATGAAACGTTAATTTAAGTTGAAATTGTTATAGATTACTTGATTGCAGATTACTAGAGATTGCAGTGATACATGACATGGTGAAAAATGACTGAATGAATAATACTTAAAGTAGG